AAAAGTGATATATGCAATATTCAATACCAAACATCCTGGGAGAACTAGCAATTTATGTGCAACATTTTAAAGCCCTGTCTCTTTGAGAGCTTCATCGTGATTTCAACAAACGAACATGGCCGAAGCCGAAGTTCGTTCCTTTATAACTCGAGACTTTTTAAAGTATATGAAAACAACTATTGGATTAATTGATCTGTCGTTGAAAACTTTATAGCCTCATATATAGTTTCGTCCGATTTTATGTGAATGATGCAGCAAACTCCCAATATTTGTCCGATTGGGAAAAAATTTTACACAGTGTACTGATGTCTGGGAAGTTTTGTTAAAATCAGTTCAGATTTAGATATAGCTCCCATACATAGTTTCGTTCGATTTTTTGGTGAATATTTGTAATGATACACCAAACTCCCAATATTTGTCCGATTGGCACAAAATTGTGCACAGAGTACTGAATCGGTTCAGATTTCGATATAGCTCCCATATATAGGTTCTTCCGATTTTATGTGAATGATGCACCAAACTCTCAATATTTGTATGATTGGGACAAAATTCTGCACAGAGTACTGAATTAGGTTCAGACTTATGTCTGCGAAATTAGATATAGCTCTCATATCGTCATCATAACTGCATACGGACGTAACTACAGAAAAATTGGAAATGTACTTTTTGCTTGATTGTTGTTCTTCTGATCAAACTACATGTTCACACAAAAAATTAGACATCTAACGTCAAAAAGAGAGAACTTATTAAAGAAATTCAAACGGACGTAACTACAATAGTATGCTTTTATTAATGCAAACAGACGTAACTACACTCCTTTAAAAAATTAAAGTTCGCAATATTAAAGATGGAAAGATAGATAGAAGATTGAAGTTATATTAATGTTACTTCTGGTATGTTTGATATTGAAAATGAGATATATCGGCAAGTTTTCTACGGTAGCCCCCAAAATTCTGTATTTTAAGGCTTTTCTTCATTTTTTTAACTAAACAGCTATAATTAGGTATTTTTGTTTCCCACTGGGTGGAAAAGTACGCTGTGCAAAGTTTTATCGTTATCGGAGAAATATTTAATGTCTTTAGTGCAACATTTATATAAAATCGGTAGAGCTGTATATGGGAGCTATATCGAAATCTGAACCGATTTTCACGAAACTTAAAACTAATCACTCTAGACTCAATTCAGTACGCTATGCAAAATTTCGTGCAAATCGAAAGAAACATAGGGGCTTTAATGCATCATTTAGACTCAATTTGGTACGCTGTACACATTTTAGTCTCAATCGGATAATTATTTGACACTTTGTTGTACTACAAAAAAAAAATCTTTTCAAAAAATAAATACGGATCTATAGTGCGGTTAAACTTTGAAGAAATTTCCAGCCATGCTCCATTTTTATAGATTTTATAACGTTTTTTGCTGCTCCTGTAAAATTAGTAAAACTGTTGTTGTTGTTGTAGCAGCCCTATTGCTTTTACACAATGGGCTGAGGTGACAGACGTTGGCCGAGTAAGACTCGGGTCGTTTCGGATCGTAGACCCCTCTGTCGAGGAAACGTAGTAAAACTGTAGTTACGTCCGTTTGCATTTATGATGACGATATATAGCTTCGTTCAATTTTGTGCGAATTATACACTAAACTCTCAATATTTGTCCGATTGAGCAAAATATATATAGCCCCATACATACTTTTACTCGATTTCATACAAATGGTACACCAAGGAATCCAAGTCGGCCCGTTTGACATGCAATTTTTCATTGTTTTTAGAATGGTATGTGTATGGGGTTTTTTCAATTTGTTGAAATATCTATCTAGATAGCACATTTAATTTCGCCTAATTCTATCCCAATGGTCCTCCAAAGATTCTATGACTGTTCTACCAACAGGATTTTGTAGATATTAACATCTCTTGTATGTACCCAATGTGGTGAAGGGTATCATATAGTCGGCCCCATCCGACCTTTGAGCTTTCCTTACTGGTTATGTTTCGCAAAGTTCTTCGCGATTTCTACAATAAATCCATATTCATATTACTCGAACAAATCCATGTATTAACGCTTTTGGTCACTATAACAAACAGCGTAATTTTAATATTTCCTATAATATAACCCCCACAACTTTTGCACACACCAAACGAAAATCTGATCGTGAACGGATTCGGAAAACAAGAAAAACCGATTTATGGAAAGTGGAATATAAAGAAATTGGCATATATATTTGTAAATTGGATTTTCGAGTTCTTAGACGATTTACCTGGCGTTAACAAACAATTTTTTGGGTAGACAATAGATAAGATATAAAACATTTTAAGCAACGCATTTATATATATATATATATATATATTTATATATAAATCTGGACAATTTATGACATTTAAAAGTAAAATTATAATAATTAATATTTAACAAGTGAGCCGAAATGGAGTGAACATTAAATAAATTGAAAAATTGTAAAATAATATATGGTCTGTTCCAGTACTTTTTAAATATTAAATCTAGTAAATGGGAAACATTTCAAAATTGCTCTCAGAGTACAAAATAATTTGAAAAGTGCGTTCCCGAACTATCTAGTAAATATGCCAAAATTAGATGACAATACTTCAAAATCAACATAACAGCCAATCAGAAGTAGGCATTCCTGTTTACCATTTTTACTCGGTCAAATTTCTCGAGTAAAAAGTTTACAAATAGAACGCCATTTTGTTTTGTGCTCTCTTAAATTTGATTCAATGTTTTACCAGTTTTGTGTGTTGAGGAACGGGTTTCGAGTAAAAAGTTGCAAAACATGTAAAATGAGTAGATTCTTTTAGGTTCTGGAACGGAACTATAATTAATATTTTCAGATTTATTCATAAGGTTAACAGTCTTCTCTTGCTGTCATAGTCTTCTCTTGCTGTCAACATTTTAATCGCGAAATACCAACCAGAACAGGATAAAAACTCATAATATCTTTCAGGAAAACGTAATGATAGTAATACGCACATATATTTTGGTTCGAATAAATTATTTTTTGTTTATTTATTCTTCAAATAATAAATTTGACAGTCTACGAATTCGCCTCCCTGTTAACCTTATGAATAAGCCTTGACGCCTACGTCACAAAGACAATTTGTAATTTTTGGAAATTCGTACGTGAACCCAATTGTCTTGTCTCTTGTGAACAGAGAGCAGAGAAAAAATTTTATGAGATTCAAAACAATTTCTTTAAAATTTTAATTTAATTTAATTAAACACAATCAAACCCCTATGTAGAATAATGTAACCCTACCCTACTCTTTTATATAAATTACCCGACCTAAAATATATAAGGGAAGATACAAAACTTAATAAACAATCAGAAAATCTTTTCAAGCAATGCCAAATAACAAATAAATTTTGCAATGAAACATGCAACCTAACAATTGTGAATTGTGTTGTGTATCAATGGTATGGCTTTTGAAAATGATAATGTGAAGCAGCCAACGAACCAAATCGACCACAAATGGGGGAATTTGGTTACTTTACTTGTTAGATGTGTTGTTCTCCCTACACTGTTTCGATAAAAAGATGGAAACTAAAAATAAAAGATTTCACAAAACAAAATAAGCAAAAAACAGAGATAAGTTCGGCAGTTTCGAATTTTTAATACCTTCCCAAAAATACCACATTTTAGTGCTGACAAGTTTTTTTTCAAAATAAATGGCTAGAATCGATATTATTTATTTACATTGGGTTGTAAATCTTCCCACCAAATATTTTCAATATTGGTCCGCTTATAGCTTTCCCACGGCACCTCTAATTTTCGTCATTCCGAACACCAAATTGATTGAAATATAATATTTTAGAATTTCATTGAGTGGCGAATTTTCCTACAAAAAATATGTATGCAGAAAATGTTCTACAAAGGTTCCATCCAATTTTGAGAATCGCCATTCTCCTTGGCGAATTCGCTTCGTGGGTAAACAACATTTTACGGAACACTTTCAATATAAGTTCATGGTTTGGCATAACCATCATATAAGAGTCCCGACTAATTTTATGTATCCATCTCATGGCTAATAAGTTCAGGCCAGCCGAATTAGATGTGTTTGTTCAAGGTGTTGCAAACAGAATGACAACGTGAATATACTCTCCACATCATAGTTAAAGTATGAAAAAGACCTAAACATAAAGAAATGTTTCAGGAGTATTCCTTGCATGCTTCGCAATGTAGTAACAAACACTTGAAGACTGACTGCTCCCAAAGTGGCATTCTTGCTGGTAGCGTAGTAACATCTTGGAGTATTGTTTGCTGTTTGTTTTAGAAATTTTATTGTGCTCTCTGTTATAAACAGCTGTCCGCTGCATGTGGTCTGATACAAACACACACCCTCTGACATGGAAGGAAGAAAGTTAAACAAACAAATTAGTGTTGCATAAAAAATGCCACTGGATTGTTGTTGTTGTTTTTCTTTTTCCTCTACTTCATGGGATATGTAAATAATATGGAACTCCTTAAGTATGGCTTCCTTCTTATGCTGCTGGCATAGAAGTTATCGCAATTCCCTTTGGAGCTTTAAGGCGAAACATAATATGTGCAACAAAGTCAAGCAGAAATAGTTTTATAATTTTGTGATTGTTTGGGGAACCACTATCAAAAGGATGTAGGATAATACAATTACGTCAAATGCTTTGGCTTATGGAGGAGAAAGATATATGTTGTGATGTTGAACAAAATAGCTAGTTGATGTTAATATTGTGGGTGTGTGTTTGTCACATATTCTCAGGAGGGGACTAACAAATAAACATGTATTTCATTAGGATATTGATGTGACATATTAAGAATATGTTGTACTGAGATTTAAACACAGAAGTCCAGATATTGATAATAGGTCAATAGGGAGTCATAGGTTACGACTCCTAGCTGTAAGGACTTTTATTAGATCAAGTAATGTAAATGATATATATAGTTATTTATTTTTTCTCAAAATTATTCTTTAATATTTTCTGTTTTCCCTTTAATATTATCTTTATTCTTCACAGGGAATTGCAGCGCATTGAAAATGCAACCAATACACCGGTTATATCCCATCTATCCGAAACGATACAAGGTGTTACCACAATACGTGCCTACAATCAGGAATCACGTTTCACGGAAATATTATTTCGACGATTGGAAGAAAATACGATTGCATTCACGATACTCAATACCAGCAATCGTTGGTTGGGCATATCATTGGTAAGTACTTTTGTGTGTGTGTGTGTGAGGATGGGTGTTATATACGGGAGTAGGTACACTCAACTCCCACAAGGCGATTAAAGTTCAGTAGGAGAAGAATAATTTTGTGGTGGCGTTTAAATTCGAGACTAAACCTTTTAAAAAGGGAAATAATGTTTTTCTTTAAAAACTACAAAGTTAATGATAATTTTTTCAAAATATATTAGGTTGGGGAAAAAGAAATCCATTAGGCCCGTAGTCGACAATGTCGATAAAATCCGAGAAATGATCGAAATTGACCGGCATGTTAGCAAAAACTGTTTTAAACCATTTACACAAAGCTAGTTTCAAAAAGAAGCTCAATGTTTGGGTGCCACACCAATTAACAAAAAAGAAAATAGGATGGATCGAATTTCCATCTGCGAAGCCTTGTCCAAACGGAATTAGATAGATCCAGCAACGTACACAGGATTTCATTTCGGGGGGGGGGCCAGCAGTACAAAATGAAAAAACTCGGTGTTGCAAACATAAATTTACTGTGAAAAAAATTCATTTCGGGGGGGGCCCGGGCCCCCCGGGCCGCCCCCCTGCGTACGTCCCTGGATAGACCCATTCCTTAAACGGATGGTTACTGGAGATGAGAAATGGATCACATACAATAACCCTGTGCGAAAACGATCGTGGTCAAAGAGCCGTGAAGCACCTCTAACGGTGGTCAAACCAGGACTAACGGCCAGAAATGTTCTGCCATACATTTGGTGGGACTGCAAGGGGATTATTTATGTCTTACTTCCATACGGCCAATCGCTAATTTCTGGACTCTACTGTCAACAACTGGATCTTTTGATAGCAATTGACCAGAAACAGCCAGAATTGGCCAACAGGAGAAGTGTCGTGTTCCACCAGGGCAACGTTAGGCCACACACATCTACAGTGACTCGCCAGAAACTTCGGGAGCTTGGTTGGGTAATTTTAATGCATCCGCCATGCAGTCTTGACCTGGCACCAACCGATTATCATAATTTTCTTGCTTTGCAAAATGTCTTTAATGATAAAAAATGGTATCTAGAGAGGATTGTGAACATCGACTACTAGAGGTTTTTGCAAGCAGGACTTCTATGAGAGAGGCGTTATGAAGTTACCTATAAAATGGCAACAAATCGGTGCATATTAGGCCCAAACCGGACATGTTAAATAAATCCCTATATTTCATAAAAAAATAATGGATTTCTTTTTCCCCAACATAATACAATTTATACGAAATTTATTAGTGAAAATAGATTAAAGACTTCCTGAGATAGGATCGGGTAAATGTAGAAAAGAAAGCTCCAAATATACGAATGTAAAATCTCATAATCTACATACGGATGACAAAAAACTTGTCTGGTGATATTTAAAAGAGTAGTTTTGGAATCATAATTTATTCAAGAATATGAAAACCAGTAAGGAAAGAAGTAAGGTCGGACGGTGCCGACTATAAGACACCCTTCACCACTATGGATATTATAAACAGATTCATCCTAACAGACTTCGCATTTTTGGAGGACCATTAATATATATAGGAGCTATATCCACATCTGAACGTTGTGCAACATTGTGTGACAATCGGCGTATCTTTGGGTCTTTGGTACACAATTACTTAAAATCGGACGAAACTATATACGGGAGCTATATCAACATCTGAACCGATTTTCACTAAACTCATCACACATCATTCTCGACCTAATTCAGTACGCTGTGCCAAATTTCGTGTAAATCGAAAGATATATAGGGACTTTGGTGCACCATTTTCCTTAAATCGGACGAAAATATATACAGACAGCTATATTTAAATCTGAAACGATTTTTTCAATAGGGTTCGTTCTTGGGACAAATAAATGAGCTGTGCCAACTTTCATCCAATTTGAATCATAAATGCGACTTATACATTGTTTACAATTTATAGGGGTCATATACCAGAAGTATTGAACCGATATAACCCATCTTCGAACTTGAACTAAGTTTGGAAGAAATTCTACGATGTGCAGAGTTTGGTTGAAATCGGTTCCTCCCCGTCCGGCGAAACAGACAAACGAACGGAAATTTGTAGATTGACTTCAAATTATGTAAAACGGAATTGGTCCAAAGAAACATGAAGTTTAAAACCAATATTTCGATAAGGCACATTTCTGTCGTATCAAAGTGTATATACCCTCATTAGCCATAAGGCTGAGGATATAATGATATTATCGAGTTATGCATGCCAGTCTGTTGAAATCTCGAAGGACCTCAAATTATTTACGATAGAGCTTTGAAATTTTGCATATACATTGCTATTTCTCTAGGACGTTTAGTACTGAAAATGGAATACATTGGGCCACTTTATGATATAGAAACCAAAATCGGTATTTTGCGGATTTTTGGAACATTTTTCTTTGGGAATCAAATTTTCTAACTGAATATGTTTTATATTGGTCCAATCTCTGTGATAGCCCCCATGTATAGGTACCTCCTAAAGTTCAGTATTTTGGGGATTATGTGCACGTTTTTCAACCGAATTGGCTGTAATTTGGTATTTTGGATATTTTAAGCATTGATACACTTTTTACGATAAGTGTATCGCTCAATAAGGGTATCCCTCAAATTGCGGTGTTTTGGGGAGTATGGGTACATTTTTCAACAGAATTGACTGTAATTTGGTATTTTGAATTCACATTGAGTAGTAAATATTCCCACCACAAATCATCATATATATTTACGATAGCCTCCATATAACGGTACCAGCTTTAATTTGGTATTTTGAAATTGTAGATCCTTTTCCCAGAATGAACTGTAATTTCTTATTAGCTGTCAAATTCCCTACCAGAAATGCGAAATAATTCTGTAGTTGCCATTAATACCACCTCATATCTTTTCCGAATGATCTGCATCTACTGTTTCTGATGCATCCAATATTGTGTTAAAAAGCCAACAGGAGGCGTTGTCCTGCAAGAATATCTGCCAACCCCCTTGTTGTTCTATTTCGATCATGACCTCAATTCGAGACATGTTGTACTAAAGGTTTTGGCGTGTGTATTCCCCTGGTTCTCTGAACCAGTCTCGTTCTTCCTGCTAACCGAGTGTCATCTGGGTACCTACAATTTTCGAGCATCGCGAGTTACCCATCTGGCTACGTCGTTAGCCTGTTCTATAATTGTGTGGGATGTATTGTGAGGTGTATCGAGCGGTCAAAGCTGTTATTGTGCTTGATAAAATCGGTCAATATTTAGCTGACCAAGACTTTTGCAAGGCAAATTAAACAAGTAAAAACGTCGTTAAATACTACCACATTTTTTTGGAAAGCGTGCCCAACATCCACAAATATATCTAAATCATTTCGATATCTATCTCCATCGTTATTTCAAAATATATAGTTTTATTCTGATCAAGAATATATATCTAAAGGGTATTATGTATATATGTTAGTTGCATTTCTATTACCCCAAAAATTAAATAATAGACTTCCACATCTGGGTTCAATAACCTTAGCTTAGCGACTCTATGAATTATTCACCTTAAAGCGATTTTAGATAAAAATGTTGACACAATAGAAGAGTTGCTGTTTCCAGTTTGTCACCAATTAAAATAAACTATTTTCCTATTTTCTCGAATATTGAACTTTTTTCGCCGAATTCAATTCGTTTTTTTACAAAATTTTACATAAAATATATATGAAAATAAAAACAAATTGTATCGTAAAACTACTAACTTGTTGTTCTTGTCTTTTTTATTTAACTTTCTGATCAACGCTTGTTATTGTTGTTGTTACTCACGGTACATTTGATGACACAACAACAACCGCA